CTGAGGCGTGCGCTTCATGCGCTTCAAATATTTTTCACTCCAGCAGCCCCCATTTGTTTACTGTGTGGATACCCACATGGGATAACATCTCATTTACATCATAAAATGATACAAACGTGGGTCAACAGAGCAAAAACACAGGTTCTCTTCTCCTCTCTCAATTCTCCTCTTCTCTGGCTCTCTGCTCTTCTGCTTCAACTATTCTTCTCTTCTCCTCTTCTCTCTTCTGGTTCTATTATACCCTGTTTTTTTTTTCTTCTAGTTTGATTCTTCTCTTATCCTCTGGTTCGATTCTTCTCTTCTTCCTTTCGTTGTCTTCTTCTCGCTTTTGTCTCGCTCTCTCTCTCTGTCGCCTTCCCTCTCGTGATCGCGATCTCTCTCTCTCTCTCCTGTCTCGTTCGCGATCGCGATCTCTCTCTCGTGTTCTCTCTCGCGCTGACGATCTATCTCTCTCTCTTTCTTCTGTCTCTCCCTTTATCTTCTATTCATATATATATATATATATATAATATTATATAATATCTATTATATAATATATAATATACAATATACTTATAATATATAAAATATAATTGATTTATATATATAATATTATACAATACCTATTATATAATATATAATATACTTATAGATAATATGTAAAATAAAATACATTAATTATTTAAAAATAAACACATGTATATAAAATAAAATAAAAAAATTAATTAAAACACATTATTTAAAAAATATAATAAATAAATAAAATAATATATATATTAAAAAATTAATTGTTTTTTTTCTTCTTATTAAAAAAATTAATAATATACATATTAAATATTTGTTTATGTAGAAAATTGTGCTTTATTAATATTTTGCTTAACTTCTATAACTTGCGCCTCGCTTTGGTGAGGCGTGCGCCTCGCCTCGCGCCTCGGGGCTTAGGCTCCAGGTGGCCCTGGCGCCTCGATGCGCCTAAGGCTTCTTAAAACACTGGGTTGTCCATTTCCAATTGGGAAGAGCAACAAAATGTCGTAACAGTTGTCAATCTACTCAAAGCTTCTTCTCTTTCTTGATCTTTCTCTAAACTTTCTCTTTCTAAAAGTTTTTTTTTTTTCATTGTCCACCACAAAAAGGGTTGCTTTCTTTCTTTTTCTTTCATGTGATGTGTCTCCTAAATCTCCATAAACCACAAATCCCTGAAACGCCCGGGTACAACTTCTCAACAAGTTTTCTAATTCTGGGTAAGCCTCAAACGAATCCCTTTTTAGCATTAATAAAATTAGTCATATACATCTGCTAATATTTAATTTTTGTTGGACTACTTGCTTCAATTTGTGATGGTTTGATTTTTTTTTTTTTTTTTGGGTAATTATTGTTCTAATGATTAAATTCTGCAAATGGGGTTGGGATTCTGCTATGGATTTGGCTTTGATTTTGAAAGTTTTTTTATCTTTATGATTATAAGGGCTTTAATTGTAATCCTGCAGAGGGTTTAACTGTAATTGTTGCGTTTGGGCATTTTATGGGTCTTGAATTCCAATTTGAATATCATGGAACATGTACGTTTTCTTGTTAAAATCTTATTGCTGTTAAGTAGTTACTTTTTCATTGAATTCAATCAAAAGTTGTAGCAAGTTGAATTGTTCAGATGGTTACTTACCCTTAACAGAGAAGTGGTAGTCTTGTGAGTGATAAAACTTTTTCTTTTTTATTTTGTTTGTATGGGATTATTTTTGTTTATGGAAACTTTACACATATACACACTGTGGGACGAGGATAATCGGCGTCATCAATTTGTCAATTTCTTTACTTCTTCTAAATTGTGCCAGCATTTAATTATTATTATTGATGGGGCAAGTTGTTAGCAACATAAGAGGGTAGTCATTGCAAATTTATCAGTAGTTTTGTTTGTGAGAGTGTTTTTCTGTGTGTAGTTAATCGTGTTGGTTTTAATAGAGTGATATATAGAAATTGCTAACAAGTGTATAATTTCATTTGAGAGGGTAGAAAGCAATTGGGATAATTAGCTATCAGAGACTGTGGTAACAAGTTTTGTTGATCAGGTGTGCTCATTTATTGTTGTGGAAGTTGAAAATTTTCTCTCAATTATTGCTTTTCCAAACTGTGGTAACAAGTTTGGTTGATCTGATGTGCTCATTTTCATTTTATTTCTGAATAGGGTGTTATGAAGATGGTGTCAACAAACGGACTTTTGCTGGTTGCAAAGTAAAGATTTGGATTGCAGATGGGTTTGCATAGTTGAACAACAAAACAGGGGGATGATTTGAAGAAAATTCAGATTGTTGGACAGTACACGATTGAGATTTGGAAAGTTGTAGGGTTAAATCTCAAAGGAGATAAAGTCGAAAGGAGGCATTTTTTGAAAAAAAACCACCACTAAATGATGTCATCATGACATTATATCTGAGGCAAGTATAAAAATGAAGAGAGGTAGTGTTTTTTGGAAAAATGCCACTAAATGATGTCATCATTACATCATAGGTTAATTGTGACGGAAAAGTAAGTGGATTTTTGTGATGTTTTTGAAACACTGCTAAGTTATTGTGGCAATCGTATCTGTGACAAAAATATCAAACGTCGTAAAAACCTATTGCGGCATTTTTCAAGCCTATAGTTGCATTTTTGAAACGCCGGTAAAAGTCAATTTTCTTACAGTGTGATTTTGGAGTTTTGGGAAAGTTTTTTTGTTTCTCTTTTGAGTTGTGCAGAAATGATGAGTTCTGCTTTTGTTCTCTCTGTTAGGGAAAAAACGATGTGATTCCCCACAAGTAAATCAATCAATGGGAATAAAAATTAATGCGGAAAAATTAAATCAAAGGCAACACAAGAATTTTTACGTGGTTCCCTCAATGTGAGGTACGTCCACGGGATCGAAATCCGATTCCACTATCAACCAAATAAGTTCCAAACGATTACAAACGAGACACTAATGGTCTCACAAAACCACCCTTAGGTGAATTCCAAATAATCACAAATAAACAAAGAGGAAAGACCTCACCAAATAGAAGAATCAAAATCTTCAGAACCAGAGTTGTAGAAGATCCAAAATAACAAACCAAACATCAATCGAAGATGCCCAAAAAACCCGAGCTTCAAAAAACCGAAATTGAACCAATCTATGAATCTTTGGCACTGTTTCCGAAGTAACGTGATAGTATGGCCGCCGCACACTTTTTTTTTGGTTTTCAATCAATCTCCCACCTACAGCACACCCAAATCAATATATATATATATATATATTGAATCTTGGGTTTTAAAAACAAGTCTTAATTGTATCCAAATTGAATTGGGTCTCTTCAAATATAATATATAAAAATATATTATACCTAAACCAAGTCAAATTAAACCTCTTTTAATAAATCAACTGGGTCCCACACTCCAATAAGGAGGTATATCCCAACACTCTCTCTCTCTCTCTCTCTCTCTCTCTCTCTCTCTGTCTCTCTGTGGTTTGGTTTAGCTTTGATTCTTTCTGCACTTCCCTTAGCTTGCTTTTTTTGCTCATAAAAAAAAAAAAGAAAGAAAAAGGAAAACAAAAGAAAGTGGACGGCAATTATCATGTGCTTTTGGATGATCCTTTGTGAACAAAACATGAAATAAGGTGGATGCTTACTACAATATATATATATGTATATATATAAATTGGTAGAGGAAGGGGAAGCTACATAACTGTAAACTCGAATTTGGACATTACATTTGGTAACTCATCTATCGGACTAACCCTTAATGTTAGCTACTTGTTACAACAACTATATATATTTTGGTGGGTTTCAAGGCAAGACAAGGTAGGTTGTACTCAATGTTGGAGCTAGGAATTTGAAGATGGACAATATTTGTCGTTTTTCATGCTATCAAAATTTAATGTGTTTCACATATAGCTTGTTTATGGATTTAGTACATGTTTATATATATATATATATATGTATATTTTGTGTTCCACATATATCTTGTTTGTGGGAGCCTTTTGGAAGATTTCTTGGTTAGGTGAAGGAAGGTAAGTAATAAAATTAGTAAGCTCAGATAGCTAACAAATTCCATGGTAGGCAGGCTTAGTTGTTGCTTTTGTAGTTACAAGCACGCTCACAAGGGTTTAACGGTTTGGTTTTGGAGCTAATCTTTTGATTTTTATTGATTGAGAACTAAAACATATCACATTTTACGATTCAATTTACTATAGTAACTAAGAACTTCCTTCAAAATAAGCCTTGCAATATTTTCCTTAATTGATGATATTGATATGCATAAATAAATGTTGTTTTTCAATATTTGTTGGACTTGGACATATAAATCATAAACTATACAGGAGTTGTTTGGACATTACCTTAGTGACTAAAGCTCTTCTTTCCAAAAGGGGCATGTAATAGATTTCTATTTCTAAATGGAGATCCTATGTCTTCTTAATGTGTCATTTTGTATTTCCTCAATATCATTGGTCCATGTGTTCACTTCAGATAAATATAAGAATCAATTGCTAAGGATTTATTGGTACAGAAACATTCTTTCCCACATGTTTTTATAATCATCCCATGTTCTTACAAACCTCATTACAAGGCATAAGACACAATGTTAGAGTAGTAAATTAGACTCGAGCGAAAACTTTGCCCACTGTACAAGTTTACATTTGAGGGAGAGACTGTTGGAACTTCTTGAAGTAAAATCGTCCCATATCGGGAAAAAAAAAAAAGCAAATGTAAAGTCTTTAATATATGTCTGATGGATTCACCCCATATATGTTTAAGCCTTTAAGTGGATGCGTGTTTGAAATAACGTGTATTAATTCTAAGTATGGGCACTTTCGATTGCTTGACATAAATCTAAGTATGGAATCTTTGGATTCCGTAACATAAACTCCCTTCGAATGAATTACAAGCCCATTTTAACAAATTCAAGCAACAATTCATTTTTGTACTCTAGATTATTACTTGTAAATCACATTTCAGTAAAGAGCAAATTGCAATATATATATATATATATATATTTATCATAGACACAAACAAGCATGAAAACAAATATATAATATTGTTAATTGAGACAAATAATTTTGGATACAAACTCCATTACAATGCAAAGAAAGTAAATTTACACATGTTGGGTACTCTTTTTTCCCCTTTATTCACTCTTCAAATCTTCAGCACACATTAGGTAAACATACCTTTAACGAGTAGTAGTTTTGATATTGCAAAGCAAGACAATCATTTAGAAACACAAATCATAGGAAACGTATGCCCTTACACAATAAAATCCTAAGGTAGACATCACATAACCATAGGGAGTAGCTCAACATTCTTTATGGTTGACAACTGCAAAAATAAAATGCAAACTCAATAATAATCTAGCAGTAACATCTATATTTTGCTACATATAATGTTCGATTTTTTGTCTTTTATTTTTGGAAGCAAAAAAATAAAAATTTCAAAACCACCATTAGGTTTTAGAAAATTATTTTTGAAAGCAGTATTTAAAAAATATTTCACAAAACTTGTCTATTTTTCTGTAATAGAAAATTCCTTTCAGATAAGAATTGTATGGTTTTTGGGTATAGTTTGATGTAAATCATGAATTGTCCACTTACTCATGAGAGTTATTCCTCATAAATTAATAATCTGGTTCACAATTAGATTTCATTTTCAGAAGTGTCAGTATCTCTTGCCTGAAAAGAAAAAAAAATAAAAAAAATAAGGAAAGATTATGATAAGTAACATTGATAATGACAACCCAAAAAAAAAAAATGCCAGAAACCGGATAATATTGTCTGTGGATGGAAAATAAGATATTTAGACAACCTATGCATGATTTCATAGGCTGACAAATCCATCAAGTGTAAATTGAATGAGTCTCAAAGAAAATATGCAGATTGAAAGGCCAATTAATTTTATTTATTCCTAATGTAGTAAAATTTATAGTGAAAACTCACAACATTTTTAAATTACTTATTGATTGAATAAAGATCTTACACAATGCAGAAGGACCATAAATTTTTCTAAGAGAGATAGCAAGTGGGCATTCTTCTCCTCTTTCACTTTTTGGCGAATAACACTTTTTATCATCACTCCAAGTCATGGCATCTATCACTTTTTGATTGATTGTATATACATTTTTAATTTTTTTTTTTTTGTTTGGTCTTAGGAAAAGTAAAATATTTAATATAAATAAACATGTAGGAGGTGTTTGATAACCAAATTTAGCACTTAAACTAAATGTATTAAGTGATAATCAATTAAGCCTATTAAATAACTACAATTGATATCACTTAAAAATTTAAGTATTTCTTAAAATGTGAGCTAAAACTTAAGAGAAAATTTCAAGTCATATGAAACTTACTTAATAGTAACTGAATTTATAAAATTAAACATAAATATCGATATATACTGTTATAAACTCACCACCACCACCACCACCACCACCACTACCACTACACCACTATCACTACCACCACTTTCATCACTATTGTTATTATTTCCATAAATACTATCATCAATTTATTACCTCTACAATCACTACTGCTACCATCAGCACCACCATGCCACTGCCGTCGTCGTCGCCGTCGCCACTACCACCACCACCACTACCACCATCACAATATAAAAACTAAAATATACAATTTGAAAATAATAGATTTTAAATTTGATTTTATACATATCAAACAAATTATTTTTAGTTAGCACTTAAATTTTTATCAAACAATTTTTTAATTTAAAAAATTCAATATTCCGTTTTCAATATTTAATTTTCAATCTTCAGTTTTTAACTTTATCAAACACATTACACACATTTGACTTAATGGCCTAAGGTCTCACTATTGGAATTCGGCAACTTGAAACCAAAAAAAGAAAAGAAAAATTCCTAATCAAAACTTAATATAAAAAATTTATTAAAATGCATAAATGCAAAAGAAAAAAAGAAATTGAGTGTTAGCATTTTCTTTTTTCTTCTTTATTTAAGGACGGCATTATCTCAATCCACTAGGTCTCTTCCATATTTATCCAAGGGCCTATAAAACATTCATTGTCCAAAGGTCCTTATACGAAAATTTGATAAAAACATCCCAAATAAAAATAGTAGTATTCAAATGGTTGTAAATTTTAAGCATTATAGGGAGTACTACTATATGAGTGGTTGCTAGATATTAAATAATTTATTATCTTATGTCCAAAGATGATTTTTTTTAGATAGTCAAAGGCCTTTCGATAATAAAGGCATAAATGAATATTCATTGTAAAAGGCCAATAAAAAGTAAAATTTCATTATCCATCAACTTAACAAAAAATAAAACCCCATGCACAACAGAGGATAATATATTAAATTTTAACTAAATAATAAAAGAAAACAAATAAATTTTACATTAAAAAGTGTAATCTATACAAAAAAAAAATGTTATTTGAGTGTAATAAAGGGCCTCTCTATGCACAAAATTCATACACAAAAATATACCTAAAAAAATAATATGTGTTTAAGATTCAACTCTAATATAGTGAACTCCACAATTTGAATGAATCTCGACTGTGTATTAAAATTTTTAAGCATTTTTAAGTGTACAAATTTTGTGTATGTAGTATTGCTCTAATTTAAATTTAAAATTATTAGAGATTTGTAATTATGTACTAACTAAATTATCAACTATGAGGAGGAGTTGATAATTTGATTTGTAATTTATCAAAAAATACAATGTATCATGAATTTTTATCTTGAAATTTTCTTTGAAACTAAAGTATATGATGTAAATTTAAAATTAGTTGGATATGAATCATACCAACACAATAAATATATATAGTCCATTGATTTTAATAGTTTATTAGTCAAGGACCCAATTTAATTTACTTTAAAAAAAAAGCATTGCCTCATAATGTAAGTAGTTACCTGATATACATACATATATATATATATATGTATGTATATATGTTAAATGTGGTAAAATAGAGAAGTACCTTAGGTGGCTTTGAAATGATATGGGTTTGCACATACTGATTCAAGTCCATCCCCTGTAGCGGTATCACGAATTCATCATCCAATACAACTTCCTTCAGATTTGGTGTGCTGTCGGAAGTAGTGGCAGCGAAAGTCTTCATTTTGGGGCACTCTTTCACCACAAGTTGTTCCAAGGATGGCCAGTCAAAAGGAAAGTCGTCTCCTCCTGTGCAGAAACCGCTTAGGTTTGGAAGATCTATAAGGCAAATTTCTTTGAGACTTTTGAACACCATCTTGTAGTCCACTTTCTCTTCGTGCCCTTCGTTTTGCTTGGCAGCAACAATTTCCTCCATTTTTTCACAGTCCATTACCGAAAGGGATTCAAGTTGATGAAGAGCTTCAGCAATGGAAGGTTGGAAGACATATTTCAGTTTGTCACATGTATCGACATACAAAGATCTTAGGTTGCAGAGTTGCACATGTTGACGACTAGAGCAGTTCAATAAATGCTTCAATCTAGGCAACTTCATTAGATATAAATCTCTCAAACTAGAAAGCAGCTTCATGCCTTCTCCTTCAGAACCAAAATCAAATACTTGTTCCAATTTCTCGCATTCTCCTACCCAAAGCCACTCCAAATGTTGTAGCCTTTGAAGCAAATTGAATGGAAGAAGAACAGTTGATAGTGAAGGACATTCGCAAACATCCAACCTTCTGAGCTTTGGGAAGCACACCCAGCTGGAAGTAGTAAGTGCACTTGCTGCACATATCCCTTTGAAACTATCCAACTTGACGAGTCCCAATTCTTCCAGGTTGAAGAGCGATTGCAGATCACGTGGTTGTGCCTGTGATGAAATCCCCCATTCCTCTGTGTTGATCAAGTATTCCAATTCAAAACAATTTTCAATCCTCAGATGTGTAACTCTATTCAACACCATCTTTAGCCATTTACTCCAATTAACCATGGTTCCAACCAAATTTCCAAGTCCCAAATAATTTGGGGAACAATCTTCATTCGGACCATCAATACTTGATTTTCCAATAAAAATAATAAAACTTTCCAGCTCAGGAAAAACAAAGTCCTTAGGTATATACGCAATGTCAGGTATGGAAATGGTTAGCAATTTTAGGCGAGGCAAAGATCTTAGTGCAACAACTACTTCCACTGCAGGGTATGCGATACTCAAAGATGCGATGCCAAACAAGTACAACTCCTCCAAATGGAATAAAGGCAATACCATTGCGGCCGGAATTGGAAATTCATGACGACTTTCAGTCATGTCCAACAACCTTAGATTAGTTAACTCCCTTATATCATTTGGTGCCTCAGAAAAGCAGGCATGCCTGAGGCTAAGGACTTCAAGCATCTTTAACTGTCCAAGAAATTTAGTGTCCCCAAACTTAATTCCGTCAAGAACTAATGTTCGAAGACACGCTTGGTTATTGAAAGCATCAGAACTACGAATTGGATTATCAAGTCGTTGGCTCAAATCTAAAACACTAAGTGCATTCATCCTTGAAAAGAATTCATGTGAACATGACCATTTATTTTTATTGTATTGTAATAGTAATATTTGGAGCTTTGGACATTCCAAGACCTCGGGAAGGAGACTAATTTGATTTCTCATCAATGATATGCCAATGCATTGATCCAAACTTTCGATCTTCGGCCAATCATTCAAATTGCAACCAGCTCTTACAAAATACTTTTCGGATCCAATATCTATGGCAACATCACGTACAACATCATGCATTTTAATGCAATCTCGTTTATCACTAGTTAATAACAAACAGGAATCTATGAGATTGCTGGTCACCGACTTTGCTCTGCCCCTGGCTTCATGCATTGTATCAACTTTTTTGAATACCCTCAACCCCATCCCATATCGTACCAAGTCTTCTATTAAGATGTCATGATCCTCGGGAAATAGAGAACAAAGCAAGAAGCAAGCCTTGGCTTCCTCATCTTGCAAGTAGTCATAGCTCAACTTAAGACATTTGTACACATGTTGATCGACACCTTCAATGTTTGTTGGCATTGATTTTCTCAGTTCTCGAGCTGCCTCATCCCATAAAGTAGGGTCATCTTTACCCTTCATTGCACTTGCAACCGTAACAAGTGCTATTGGCAGGCCTCCACATTCTTTACAAACCTCATTAGCGATGACAGTCAACACGTTAGAGTCAACAACATCGCCAACATTCTTTTTGAACAAATCCCATGAATCTTTTTCATGTAAAACACCGAGATGAACAATCTTTGTCTTCAGCCTTTCCATTCCCATGGAATTGCATACTTGCTTACGCCGTGTTGTGATTATGATTTTGCAACCCTGGTGATCATCGCCAAATGGAATGCCCACGGCTGCCAAATTAAGTTTGGCCCAAACATCATCCAATATAACAAGGATCTTCTTCACATCCTTAAGTCTTGCACACAACATGCTTGCTCTTTCAATTTCACGTTGTTGATCAGTTAATCTGGTTAAACCCAACATGCTAGCTATTTGACCTTGAATGTTTTTAATGTCTGGGTTCTGAGACACTACAACCATCACAACATCATCAAAAAACTTATCAGATTTTGCTTTTTTGCCGATTTCTTTTACCAAAGTTGTCTTTCCAATGCCCCCAATACCATGTATTCCAATGAAGTTGATCTTGTTGTCAATTAGTGCCTCCATTACGTTCGTCATTGCCAAATTTCTAGAAGCATAAGGCACACGCTGTTCAGAGGGTATGGACTCTATCCCCAAGGGAGGAGCAGGTTTGGATATGCTGTTACTGAATTTGCCTTCTTTTCCCAGCTCTTTAGCCTCCTCTGCTTTATTTTTTGCTTCTTTACCTAGCCGGCGTCGTGTGACCAAATCAGGAAACCACCCATTCAAACATTTTTGGTTCACATTGGTACCACCTTGGAGAAACTCTTTAGCCTGTAGAATGAACCCATTAACTTTGTCAATCCAATTCTTGACAATTTGTAGAATTTCTTCTCTATTCCTTGTTGCTGCATCGATGGAGTCGAGCACATCTTTTCTCTGAGCCTCTAAATTTTGAACTTGCTCTTGCAGATCTGCAATGTATTTCACTCGATGGAACACATAACCGACTTGACGCCCAACTGGCTGCACCAATACTCCAGCAACGCTTCCTCCAATGGAAATTAGAGCACCAAGCAGAGTCATGTCTGATGACAAACAAAGCAGTACTTTACAATGGTCCCCAATCTCTAAGTTTTCTAAGTTGAATTTTAATGGAGAAATTATCTATCAGTGGTACTATTAGGGGGGAAAAAAAAATGATTTTAATCATTAATGTTTTTAAAATGTACCATTTATTTATAATTTTTTTTTTAAAAAAAAAAACCTACACTAAATTAAAATTTCTCCAATTTTAATCACTAAGTCAGTGACCTCCTGAGAAGTGTAGACTGTGTACACACTCAAGCTTCAATTATTAGTTATTAATTAATTGTCTTAAATTCACACCCACAATTTCAATGTATGAAATTTTTCCTTGTAAATAATTCACAAACACAAATCGTAGCTGATCCCATATAACAATAATGGTTCCATAGACGCATATGCAAAATATTATGGCTATTATCATGATGTACAATGCAACTTTAGTAGCTCATGCTGACAGACATTCAATTAGCTTTGCATTATGAACAGAATAAATAATTAGTGGATTACATTTATTTATATTGTGTTTAGATGATAAATTTAGATAGAAATCCTGAAAGAAAAGGTGAAATTAAATATATATATTATTTATATTTGTCTCACATTTTTTCCTTCTTTTTTTAAATCCTTATCAAAATCTTTGATTCAAACACATATTGAAAAGGAAGCGAGAAGTTTATTCAATTTTTATTTGGATAAATTACACTTTACCCTTTTTATATTTGGCCACTTTCCCATTTTGGTCCTTAAAATTAGTCGTTCATGTTTCAAGGGCTTTTTTTTTTTTTTTTTTTTTTTTTTTTCAATTTACTCTTATAGCTAACTTCTATTAAAAATTAGACAAAATAACACATTGACAATCACGTGACATAATAATGTTTTATTATATATAACTCACACCACTAAGACAAACTCAAACCCTAATATAATAATATATTTTGTTTGTTATGTGATAATTATTGTGGTATTTCATGTCTAATTTTAAATAGAAGTTAGTTTTAAGAGTAAATTAAAAAAACTTAAAACATAAAGAGTTAAAGTAAAAATAAATAAATTTTAAAGACCAAAGTAAAAAAGTGAACAAATATAAAAGAGACAAAAGTGTAATTTATCCTTTTTGTTTAGATTGACATATTGGAGAACATTGTAAGAAGCCAATTAATCTGAGTAAAGTGTATAAGGGTGACCGCATCTCAAAAATTTGAAAACTGTTTACATTATATTAGTAATGATTAAAATAATTCCCAAAAAATGGGTGCGCCTTGCATTGGTTGAGATATATTTAACTTCTTTTTTCTTTATATAGAAGATATCTATTAAATTTGAAAAAAAAAAAAAAAAAAAAAAAAAAATAAAAAGAGAAGAAGAAGTTATCACCGCCATATTAAGGGCTCAACAAAATGGTTAATTTGGTACATAAAATTCTCCATTTCTTTCAACTTTTCTCTCTCTAATTAGGTGTCAATAATTCTTCTTACTTTTTGTATAAATGTTTTGCTCATAATTTTCATTTTTGCTTATGTGTAATGAGTTTTGCTTCATTATTTATGTTTGTCTAGTATTAAAGTTGTTGGCAGTTGCTATCTCAATAGATTGATGTGTCCTGTATTAATACTACTTTGCATTAACTCTATTTTTAACTATGAAATTTGTCAGGACTAAACTGTTTGGTAAGATAGAATATAATTTTGCAAGGATTTGGACTTCTCTCAAGTTTACTTGAGAGAATTTGAGAAACTTGTGGGACGTACTAAAATCTCATTTTGATAATTCACATGGTTTATTTTGTAAGATCCTCAAATTTATATCATTCTTGAAAAAACTTAAATCAATCAGATAATCTGTTGTCTAAAATATTAAAAGATGAATTACAACTCAGTGTATTATTTAAAAAAAAAAAAAAAAAAGATCCAAGTAATTTCATAAATTTTTTCACAAAACTGTAAATATTTAACAAAAAACCACCGATTTGTAATTTTTTTTAAAAGTAAAAGGTCTATTTTCAAAAACATATATGTCACAATTTTTTTAGACAAACACAATTAGTTATGATTATTGAATCAAACTAACTTTTTTTTATGAATAATATGTATTGAGATTTTTTTTTATAGATAATATAACTGACGATCTTACAAAATAAATAATTTGAATAACGAAAATAAGAATCTTGATAGACTTCACGAACTACTAAAGTTCTTTCAAGTTTAGATTTAATTGAATTTGATTATAGAGACCCATTTTGTAACTAGCTATGTTGAGAGAGAGAGAGAGAGAGAGAGAGAGAGAATACCTGTGGATGGTGTGAGTGTGGAGTGAGAGAGAGAGAGAGAGAGTACCTGTGGATGGTGTGAGTGTGGAGTGAGTCTGTGCAGGGAGGTTTTGGCAGTGGTAGATTGGGCTGAGCAAGGTGAATTGACGGAAGGGAAGACCAGAGTGAGTCTCTATAGCCTACTTTCCATTTATATAACAATAATGTTTTGTAATCCGAATTTTTATAATTTGAATGGCTCAAATGTCCTAAAACGACGTCGTATTAAGGGTAAAATGATGTCGTTTTAATATATACGAGTCATTCGAGCCACACAAATTCGAGCCATCAAAGTATTTTTCTTTATATAATGGGTTTGGAACTTCTATATAAGTCATTTTAAATAAATAAAAAAAAATTTGATGATATTTTTTAAAAGTTATATTAAATTTTTTAATTTTTCTGTTCATATTGTATAAACAAATTTGAAAATTAAAAAAAAAAATAAAATAAACGAGAAAACTTCACTATTTTTGACTTTTTAAAAATATTTTCTGAATTTTTTTTTTTCTATGTTTTCGGTTCGTCTCATTAAATTAAATTTAGAACTCTAAAATTTTTTGAAAATTTTAAAAATAAAAAATTACTAAAGAAGAAAATAATCCCCCAAAAAAAAAAAAAACTACCAAACAAGCAACCCGTAAAATAAGCTACAAATACCAGTGTTTTTGGTTTACCTTTCAAATTAACTCTTGGATTGAAAAATCCAAAAACATATTTGGTTTACAATCTTTCAAAATTGTTTTGAAAAGTGTAAATTACAAATATATTTCCTCATATTTATTTAAAATATAGATTGCTTTTTATGATTTAAAAAATTACAAATGCCTTCTTATTAGAATTTTTTATTTAACATAATTAACTAAAAAAAATAAAATATATAATTGTTTTCCTATACAATAATAAAATTATTTCAATTATTAATTGAAACATATTTCTAACATTATTAAAAACTTTTAATTGATTTGATGATTCATTAATAAAAGGAGCAATTTGTTATGAAATTAGAAACCTTAAGGGGTGAAATATAATTTTCAAAATCACAGGGAGTGATTTATATTTTAATCAAACCTCAAGGAGTGCATTTATAATTTACCCTTTTGAAAATTATTTTCTCTCTCTCTCTTTTTTTTTTTTTTACACCTCAATCAATCACATTTTCTCTCATTTTCTAACATTTTACACATGAATTAATTAATTTTCTCTCACAAACATCTATTTAACTATAAAAAAATACAAATTATCACAAACTTTTTTCAAAATATATAACCAAAAAAGTTTTAAAATTTTGCAAATTCTTTTCAAAAACTATATTTCAAAATTGATTTTTAAAATGGAGCTAGGTAGCTTGAAAAACTCATTGCCCCAAATGGCTTGATTGTCGGAAATGATGTTGTTTTGACTTTTTTTTTTTTTCTTCCTTTTTTGTACTCTTTTTTTTTTTTTTTCCTTCTCTTTGCTTCCTCTTCTTCCTTCTCCTGGACAATCCGGAAAATTAGAAGAAGAAGAACCCAAAAAAATCAAACAGAGAGGAAAAATTGGGGTTGTTTGAGTGAAGAAGAAGAAGAATCTTTAATTTTCATTGTTCTTTCACCAACATAATTTCTTCAACCTATCACATGAAGAGAGAGAAAGAGAGAGATCATATAAACCCAAAATGGAGAGAATCGAAATTCAATTTTGATCAACTCTTGTTTTCACTCTCACCATGAAAGTTTCTTGACCCCAATCTCTCTTTACATATATAGTTGTATACCCATCAAGCTTTGTTCTTTGTGCTATGAATTGAAAAAAAAAAAATCATACCCAGTCTCTCTCTTCACATATAGTTGTATATGCATCAAGCTTTGTTCTTTGTGCTATGAATTTTTTAAAAAAAAAAATCATATTCATTTATCCTTTGAATTCAAATTCAAACCCAAAACCCCTTTGTCTTCTTCTCCTCTCTTGTACTCATCATTCATACACATAAATAGCTATATATATATATATATATATAGAGAGAGAGAGAGAAGATGAGAGGTAAATTTGTAGAGGAAAAGTATTCTACAAATCCAAACGTATTTTCAAATCTTCACCAAACCCAAAATTCCAACAACCACTACATTCTCACACTACTCCATCCGCCGCTACCATAAAAGAACCCAACAAAGACGGAAGAGATGAGGGCTCCGGCAGCTTTGGCGTCAAAGAGGAAGCTACTAGTTTGTGGGCTTCGACAGCTTTGATGTCGATTTGATAAAGACGAAGCTATTTGAGAGAGAGAGAGAGAGAGAGAATGTGAGAGAGAGTGAGTTTTGAGGCAGTGTCTAAGTCTGAGAGGAGAGAAAGAGGGTTTGGCTTTTGAGAGGAAGAAGTGAGAGGAGATCGATTTTCAGGGACTTTGGGTCATTATCTCCTCCTCCTCCTCCTCTATTTCTCTTTCTCTCTGTTTGAATTCCTAGGGTTCAAAACGAAAAAGAAAAGGGGCTGAAAAGAAGGAACAAAAAAAAAAATTCAAAATCACGTCGTTTTCGACAATCGAGCCATTCAGGGTAATGGATTTCATGGTACAAAATATTTTCCTTTTTAAAACTAAACCAAACGGAGCCTAACTGTTGGTTTTTTGGCTTTCGAAGGTTATTATTGTAATTATGAGCATGCCAGCAATGATCAATCAGTCCTTACAGAAAATTAATTGTCAACCAATTATCAGATGATTGTGCTTTAGTTCTTTCAGCCTAAATGAAGAGGACTTTTACTGGTGGCTTTGTTTAGGAGAATTAAGCAAACAACAATCAAATGAAGAACAATTGAAGCATTTCATTAAGTAAAAATGAAAGACTTACAATGATCCAATTTTGCCTCGTAGAGGTTTACAACAACAATCTATTTGAAACTACTCCTATGAACGAAGTACAGTGCAGGAATTTGAAGTACAAAATGTAAAGAACAAGAAATGTAAAAACTGGAAAAGGAAATAAAGTATAATAAAACTGGTTTTTCTAGATCTGAGTCTCCGGTTTTTTCTGGGGCCTTTTCTACTATTTATATTTCTCAAGGATGACCATCGAACTGCACTTCTAACCGTCGAATTGCTTCTCTATGATCACTGATCATGTTGCCTTATAATTAGCTCCACTATGCCACCACTTGCAGTTAGGCTTCCCTCCTGATTTTGAATTTGAATGTGAGTAACCGCTGAAGCCACATCACTTTGCATCTCTTTGCTGATCCAGTGCTACGCAGATCTTGTAAGAACCAATACTAACTGTCACATGTATAATCACAATCGAAAACTTGAATAGTCTTCCCGTATTGACCTTATTCTGCCACGCATTGAATTATAATTGGCTTATACAAAATATGTAGCCAACACTAACTTATTTAATCCGTACTACGCTTCCAATGAATGCTACTTAGCCCGTTTGAGATGTTGACTATTTCAGTTAATTTTTAATTTTTTGATTATTTTAGTTAATGAAAAAAAAAGTTATGTTTAGGACGATTTGTAAATGTTTTTTTTATAGTTGAATAGCTGATTGTGAGATAAAAAGTAATTAATTGATGTGTAAAATGTGACATTTTATATTATTAATTATTTTATTTTTTTAATAAATAAATACATATATATATATATATATATTTTGTTTTTATTAATTATTTTAACCAATAATCACCATTCCAAACACCACCCTACTCTCCATTGGAAAATTATTTATTGGTTTACATGATACCTCATTGATTACAATAATTTAATTTTAAATTAATTTTTCAAAAATAACTTGATAATAAACTCTCCTCTTGGACTATTCATTAGAGCGTTTTGGAAAGATGGTTGAAAGTTAGTTTTTTTGACTTTTTTATGTGAGAAATGATATGATCTAAAATAAACTAAAAATTGATTTGACTTTGGAGTGATTTGAAAATATGGTTAAAAACTACTCCTTCCGTCCCAAAATAATGGTCCCTTTTGGGGAATTCAACTTTTTTTTATAGTACAATTATTGTACTTTTAAAAAGTTGGTTTTCTAAAATTACCTTTTGATAGTACACTTTTTTTAGAATATCAATGTCATAATTGTACTTTTTATATTATTTATGAATTTAAAAGAAGGGCAAAATGGAAAATTTATATTATTTTTGTACTTGATTTTTGAAGAGGGACTAATATTTTGGGACAATAAAAAATGGAATAAGGGACTAATATTATGGAACGGAGGGAGTAATTCTTTTGATTATTTTTGACATTTTTAACTTTTTTTATGAAAAAAATATGAGGTAATGTGACTCAAACTAGACTAAAAGTTAAAAATTAACTTCCCAAATTATCTTCTTCTTTTTTTTTTTTTTTTTATGTTCCCAAATGACCCCATTATACGTCAGAGATATATTTAAAGCAGATATATCTAAATCGATTTTTAAAAATGTCTCTAAATAATGTCAATGGTCTAAGGGGTTGTTTAGAATGACCTAAATAAGTACATTTTTTGTCTTTTTATAAAAAGATATATAGAAAAATAAAAAAATGATGTGATAAAAAAAAAAGATAAAAAAGCCTAAATCTTTCTAAACCAAAATATTAACTGATCAAATTACTTTTTTTTTCCGCCCATACACACACACTCTCTCTCCCCTCAAAATTTTTTCCAAATCTGTTTGAAAAACATATCACTCGCACCCAAGCCCCCACTCACGCTCCTCTTTCTCTCTCAAAACATAACCAACTCACGCTCCTCTCTCCTCTCGCTACTCACTCACCGGAGTTCTGGGTTCATCAGCAACGTTTTTTGCTGGAGGGTGGTCGTCGCCGGTTTGTTTCCCAAGTGAATATGCTTTGTCCTTGCTGAGTTTTGCATGCTCCAGGGAGGAAGACCAAGTGTTGCCGACGCGCTTCATGTGCGTTGGGGTGTCTTCTTTTGCAGTTTTTGGGGAAGACAAAAAGCAAATGTTTGGTTCAACTAGGCACATGTCTTTTTTTTTTTGAACGTCAACTAGGCACATGTCTGGAATACATTGATAGTTGGTCCAGCACATGGGTAATAAATATTAGAGGGAAACTCAAATTTTTTTTTTGGGATGAACCGAAGGCTAGTTGTGTTGGTGGGCCATTTGATGGTGAAATCATTTGTTTATGCATTTGATATTGGTATTATGCAGGATGCATGTATTCTGAAGCAAAATTGGGTAAGACCGCATTATTTAAAATACATATAATATACGTGGTGTGGCTTTAGAGTGATTATTGCCGTTAGGTGCTGTTTGGTTTGGTGTTTGAAATGGTGCTTCGGTGTCTCGCCGTAGTAATTGTGGGGCTGCTTGGTGATGTTTTGCATTGATTATATATTCAGAAATGCGCGAGACCCCAGTAAAAGCCACCCCAGTGACCCCCAGTTCCACGTGGCACTGCGGGATTGGAAGGAAAGAAAAAAAAAAGAAAAAAAGAAAAAATTGGCCAATGGGGGAAGCCCACGTCATTGGGAGTCGACCCCCAGTGGGGGTGCGTAGCAAGGTTGTTATATATTATATAAAGGGTTGTTTCGGGAAGATCAGTAAAAGTTAACGTTTTAGTGTTGTTGTTGTTGTTTTTTTTTTATTTTTTTATTTTTTTTAAATATGTAAAAAAATGAAGAAAATTTACAAATTGGCACATAGCACATTTTACAATTGAAAAATAATATTTTGTCATAAAGAGTGAGGTGAGGGATTCCATTCCATCACAACTATTTTTATATTTTGGTGGGCTAACGTGTAAGTTTATAAGTGAGTTTGTTGAGTGGCTTTTCACAAGCTGACCTGCTGGGTTTCAATGTCTTTATAAAATGAATGATTAAAATATTTGGATAGTCTTCGCAAAAAAAAAAAAAAAAAAAAAAAACACACACCATATATAAATTGAAAAATTTTCTTGTTTTTGTTTTTGTGATATTTTTCTAATCCGGTGTAATAATTTGTTGTTTGTGATGATTTTATATTTTTTTTAATTATAAAATGTTAACAAATGTACTATATATATATATATATATATTTGTTGAGCTTTACGTGTACAATAGCTTTGATTTGTGTATTTTGTTTCATGTTTATAATTTTTTTTTGATTTGTTCTTATATTTTGATTTATAATATTGGTAAACATTATAAATCTTATATGTTTGTTTCTTAATTTGCATTCAGGCTAGAAGAGTTGTTATTTTATTTGAGTTCTGTACCATGTGTGGTACAAATAAAATTGTTACAAATTCTTTAAGAATGATAATATTTCTTTATATTTTTTCAATATTTGTATCAAAAAATACTACAAACTCCATAAATTTTAACATAATACGTACAAATTATAACTATATTTTGATCATAATATTATTTAAATTGTATCTTCATTTTGATCATAATATTATTTATACTGTATCTTGGACATATACTAATATATATATACACTAGCGTATGCCTGTGCCTAAAGGCACTGTGTAAATAATATTAAGATTAAAATACAGTTATAAAAATATATTTAACAGACTGTAATCTACAATTCCAAACAAATCAAATATATAAAAAAAAATTAAATATCAAATAATGCACAAAAGCCAGTGCTCTGCAATTTAAAAGAAATTAAAATTAAAATTAAAATGCACACCAATTAATGCTACTGCTGCCAATCAAATTATAACTACATAAGAAAATATTATATTGTCATACACCAAAAGAATGGGTTAAAACTTTATAAAAAAAAAAGTTGGTTAAAGTTTTTCAGAATGTGTATGTTTTACAGAGGATGTGTCAATAACATGTCTTCAAACATGTGTTCGCCCAAACTTCTTCCTCGTTACTTTTGAAAAAGTTTTTGTATCAACTTGTATGTATCTCCAACATGCACAACAATCTGGTAATTTGTGGAAACAAATATATATATATATATATATAGATTGGTATATTTGTTGAAAATATACATATCAAAATACTTTGAGATTGAAATTACCTTATTACATTCCCATCGAAGCAAGCTAGTTGTATTTCTCCTTTTAAGCTCTATAAATTTTTCAATCCAATCCTAAAAAAATCCATAGTTCCAATTATTATTAAATTGAAATTTTATAAAAAAAAAACGATATATAATCAATAGAAATAAATCTACATGGTTACCTTTTGATAAAACGTGATTTAATGAACATGGAATACTATAACAACACTTCAGGATAAACAATATTTGTAGTAGAATCCAAACTATCTTTAAGAAGGAGAATACTTATACGATCAAAGGATACACATCTGGACAGTGTCACATATAATTGGCCATGGCTAAACATTGGTATGTGCAAATCAACCCCAACAAATTTCACACATTGTCCTTGAGACTTATTAATGGTCAAGGCATATACTAATCGGAATGGAAATTGGCGTCTTGTCATTTGGAAAGGCATTTATGAAGAAGATGGTGTCAAAGATATCCTTGGTATGAATGCGAAATTGCCAAACTTTTCTCTAGTTAAAATTTGAGCTTCAATTATGCGAGTGTCGCACCTAGTAACCATCAATCTTGTACCATTACATAGTCCATCTTTCGGTGCAATATTTCTTAACAATATTATAGGACAACCTACTTTCAACTCTAACTTAAAAGTTGGTAGCCCAGGAGGATCCAATGAATTTAAATATTCATTAGGATATCTATTTGTAATGGTAGGATCAATTTCATTATCTGCAGACATTTTATCAGCTGCAAAATAAGTATATAATCTCCTTAGAAAGATATTCAATGCAGTAGTATTAATGTCACTGACAGCATCGTTATGCGTAGATAGAATGGTGCATTCAGTTAAAAATGTTAGAGTCGACGTCTCTATTATATTCAACTGTGGGTAAACTGCAGAGAGTAATTCATTCAAATCTTGACATTTGTGTATTGTTAATGGACGGTTGATGATTTCTTGAGGGTTAGTCCCAATCTAAAAAAAGTGAAATTAATAAAAAAATATGAGTGTAAACACAATTTATTAATTTAAAATAATCTATATAATAAAGAAAAAGGTTAAAGTAGTGTTACATCCATCAAGAAATTTGCAAAAATAGCATTTTCATGGTCTCCATGATGCAAGCACATATTCAAATCCAAAGTTAAGATATGTATACGCTTCCATATAATAGAGTGTCTTAATGATGCATTCACAATTTGCTCACGAACTCCTTTGGGTATAATTGGTAAGATTTGTTGAAAGTCTCCACCAAGAACAACAGTAATACCCCCAAATGGCTTTTCATTATCACGAATATCGCTCAATGTACGATCAACCGTCTCAACGCAAAGTCTATGTTGCATAAGAACTTCATCCCAAATTATGAGTTTTGTTTCTCTAAACAACTCAGCTTGTAATGATTGTTTGGTAAACCCACAAAGTAAATTTTCCAAGACATCTAACGGAATGGAAAATGTTGAATGTGTAGTATGACCTCCTATCAATAACAATGATGCAATTCCAGATTAAGCCACAGTAACAACGATATGCCCAAGGCTGTGACATTTTAATGCAATCGTATTGTACATAAATGTTTTCCCTGTTCCAGCACCCCATTAAGAAAGAAAACAGTTCCTTTATTTTGAAAAATTGAAGAAGTGATTGTGTTATAAGCATTCCGCTGTCCATTGTTGAGACAATCGATAGTAATTTGTGGATCTGCCTGTTGTGCCTCATTCTGCAATTGTTGATGTTCAAATATCAATCGATTACCAACTACTGCACTCCAATTTGCAGTAGGTTGTGGCATGAGTGGGAAGTCAATTAAACATTTGCCTGATTCATGAAGCATTTGATTCAAAAAAGATGGAGACCATAATCTTCAATTTGAGCCTTAGTTGGATTAGAAATGACAAACAATGTACGAATCTTATGTAGAAGATCATCACATATATGCATTGAGAATTGATTCCATAATGCACATGGATTTAGTGGAGAGCACTGGGTGAGAATAATACTAAACAATCTCCTCAATTGGTATCCAGTTTTCATAACTGCAGCCTCTTTCAAGCATTGTATCCATTCTTCATCATCTTCTAAAAGCCCCCTTGCAACACATGCTAATTTAAATGTATCATGCACAACATTATCGACCGTGCATAAAGACCGAAACGACTTTGGTCCTTTGACAACAATTAGTAACAAACATAGATAAAATCTTTCACCACAATTAGGGTTGGCAAAGTACATTCTACCAATTTCATATCCCATTTCTCTTGATTTCCATCTCTTTTCCGACTTGAGCCAAACAAAATGCTGTGGAAATTCTTGATAAGTGAATGGACATTCATCTTCACCGGCAACACAATATGCAAAGAAGCCAGTAAGAGTTGACATTTGTTGACTAGCTCTAGATTGAATCGTTTCTAATGACTCTTCTGGGTTAAAAACAACGCGATGCATTCGAGGTAAATGGAGTGTCAATCGTACAACTGTTGGCATCTCTGCATGCAAAGGATGACCAAATATTCACCAAGCAGCTTCTGGAGGTCCAATATACCTTGCATCGAGATATTGTTAAATCTCATTTATCGATCCCAACACCATCGTTGTACGATCATAACCCTTATAAATGTACTTATGTATATACTTGACACATCTCATTCCAGCACAAACTTCCATATTTATATGACAGTTGAAAAGTTTAGAAAGATATGCATTGTATGGTACGACATCCCTATTATCAACTTCTTGCCCCCTCATAGTATGTACTTGACCATTATTTCGACGACGATAGATAGAGTATCCATCTTGATCCATAGTTATTGTTTCTGTGAAAGCTCAAGGACATCTCTTACTGCATCTACCATTTTTCATACACGGTGCATGCGGATTTCGAGCACCACATGGTCCATGTACCATACAATATTTCACAGTTTCAAAAAGTAGGGGTGTTCGCGGATCGGTTTTGTGCGGTTTGCGGTTCGGTTTTGACCCACCCGCATCTATGCGGTTTGAGAAAAAGTCAACCCGCAACCGCCCGCAGTGCGGTTTGCGGTTTGTGCGGATAGGGTTTGCAAATGTGCGGGCGGTTGCGGGCGGTTGCGGGCAGTTTGCGGTTTACACTTTTTTCTTTAAAAATTAATTTTCGAGTTTTTTTTTCCAGCGAATTTAGGCATCAGATTCATTTTATATATTTGTGATAACAATTTTTTGATGAGTTTATAAATAAAAATTGAATATCAATGCATTAAATGAAAGTACCCAAAACAAAGAGACCCTACACTAGCATTTTTGCCATGAAAAAAATGTATATCAATGCATTAAAGGTTGTACTCAATTAGAATTGCCAGTTCAGTAGTCTATAATCAAACTATAAGTTCTATCGACCATTAGAAGGAAAATTTTATTAGGAAAAAGTGGATGAATCACCAATAAAAATCATATAAGAAACCAAGTTTAGGACTTGATAATTCTACGACATTAAGAAAGTTGAGAAATACTTAAAAATAAGGATCCTAGTGTCATAGAGAATATAATGGTGCTCCTGTAAAAGTTACAAAGTTGGTATATAAAAAAAAATAATAATAATAATTAAAGTGCGAGCAGTTTTTGCGGGTTGCGGGTTTAAACCGCGACCCGCCCGCAACCCGCAAATTTGTCATATTTCAAACCGCATCCGCCCGCATTATGTTTGCGAAACCGCCCATTTATATGCGGGTTGGGCGGTTTGAGCGGTTCGGATAAACCGTTGCCCACCCCTATCAAAAAGCATAGGATCATCTTTTGGGTTTGGAAATTTTGCACAGACCAATTTGTCTACTTGAGCACATATCCGAATTTTTTCTAGACCCTTAAGAAATAAAAGTGCATGCATATAGGGAGAGGCCTCGTTTTTGAAATTCAATTGTATAAACATGTGCAACTTTATTTCCAAACACTTTATTTGTTTCTATCTCGTTCATAAAACATTTTCTCTTCAACTCAAAAACACGGGCAATGAAATCAGGACGATCAATAGGTTTTTGAAGTGATAACAATGCTGAAGTAATTTCTGGCCAATTAGGATTTGCAGTCATGGTAAGAAAAATATCTGGGTGTTGGTTATATCGCGTGATAGCTATTAAATCTTGAAAGATTTCAAACATATGTCTAGGACTACCAGTCAATGAAGATGGCAAAACAAACCTTTGACCAATTTGACCTGGTCGCACATAATCTGGATCAATATCTGACAACTCTTGGTAAAGCTCAACCCGAAGTTTCCCTTGATTAAGCTTGTAGTATGTCAATCGATTTTGCTCAGTTGTGGCCCAATCATCTACCAAAACCTCTTGAAATAGTTTCCCACATCTCAAAATAGTTGAATACTCTGTGGGTCATTCAAACAAACGATAACTATAAAAATCCATTTGAGTAAGTCATTCAGTTGAAGGTCGATCATATTGAATGTTCCACAATTTCAACTCAAGTTCCCATCCAAGCTCACCATACAGAAATAATAGAATATAATGTAATGGCAAGTATGCTGGGCGATGTAACCCTCTGTAGACATCCCCGAACGCCCCAGGAGGGATGAGGTCCCGTTTCGTTCGTTTTGGGCTCACTACAGTTCGGACTCTCGAATTGTCACGGTTCTAAATCTGAACCAAAGAGTCCAAATCCAGCAAATCGTTTTGAGAAAATATATTTTTTGAAAGAAGTGCCAAACATGGACTGCTTTGCCAGATACAGAGTCGCCACCTAAATGTTTTATTTTGGGGAAATTTAGGAAACCCTGACTCGTTTGCCTAAGGCCACGTGTCCGTCATCACCAAAGTTGCCTCGGCTCGGGAACTTGGGTACGATTGGGGAAGGTCACTTCGTGAGCACCCCCGCTCGCCCGATCAAAGATCGGCCTCTACTAACCATGATATCTAGTTTTGAAAACATTATGCGTTCTTATTCCGGTTATTAGCCTAGATTTACTATGTGATGCGCACAGCATACAAGTATAGATTGGATCGCCTGAATTGGAACAAAACATTTTAAAATAGGAAAACCCACAAGGATTTATAAAAAGATTTGAGCTTTAAACCCATTTTGAAAACCCTTTACATTTTAGATCATAAAGATCAAAATCAACACCAATGCTTCATGGAACTATTAAATCAATCAACAACGATGCAAAACATGTATATATAACTCAAGGATTCCCCTACCTCAAGCTTGATGGAGAAAATGATGAAACCCTAGCTTTTGATGGAAGATCCTCCAACCTCTACCACCCAAGTGAAACTCTAGCTTGATCTAGAAGATTGGAGGAGGATGATGATGATCTAAGCCCAAATGGATAGCAAGATTTAAGAATTTTAGTGCTTTGGTTAGGGTTTTTAGAGAGAATGAGAGAAAATGGCCTTTAGAGTGAGAGAAAAAGGTTAGAAAATGAGATATTTTCGGCCTCAAAAAGATAAAAAATAGAGTTTTCAGACTGCTAGAGTGCTGCACGTGTGGCACCCTTCTCTGCACGTGCGGCCTTCATCCCTGCACGTTCGGGGCTCTTTCCACACCTCCTCCTGCATGTGCCATTTAGATAGTGTGCAACTTCCCTAACTTGCCCATTCTTGCACGTGCGGCCTCATCCCCCGTACGTGCGGCCTCCATCCCACATGTGCGGCACCTAAGGCCCCGCACGTGCGGCCCTGGCCCAGCAGCTCAGAAATTTTACACTTCACTTCCAGGCACTCCGGACCTGACCACGCACCCTCTGAAACAACTGAAACTCAACACTGAGCAAAGAACAAGAACAAGGACTTCAATTTTTTTTTGAAAACAGTTTCCGAGCGTTCCAAGTCTAAACAAAATAAAAAAAGGGCGAAGAGATGAAAGAAAGGGGAGGAGAAGAAAGGAAAGGCTCGGTCGTCACATATGTTCAAGTATTTTCACATATGTATGCAAGACTACTCTTCAGGGAGTGTAGTCCTCGATCCTCGTGCCACCAATCACGCATCTTGATGCATGATGGCCGAGGAGACGAATTGAACGACTCAATATGAAATGAATGCACATGAAAACACAACAGGACCTAAACTCCATCATGGGTGATCCGGAGTGTCGGCGACCGGGAATTGAGACATGTTCCGTCACTTGGAGTACGAAACGTCCCTCGTTTCCCATGCTCGGGCTAACTCCTATCCCGAACACAATGTAATATGCATGACATGCATGAATGCAATCCTAACATGTAACCTAGCATACACAATGCTATGAAATGGCATACACAATGCACGGTGTAACGAGGCATACACAATGCTCTAACATACAACCTAGCATACGCAATGCTATGAAATGAAATGGCATACGCAATGCATAATGGACTTACACTAACATGAGTGGACCTCAGCCACACTCACATCAGTAGCCATTAGGTGAAAATGAGACTCTCGAAGTAAGTACACGCATGCACGCAAATCGAGGACCAAACCTAAGGCAACAAGTGCCACTCTAACAAAGCATGGCAAGGCACAAAATATGGCATACAAGCATGCAAGTTTCAGTGCTGAAACATGATGCAAAACAACCCCGAAACATGGAAACATGGCACCCGATGCATGAGATGGCTCCGAAACACAAAACTAGGCATATGCATTGGCCTTTAGCTATACAAAACATGCATTATTTGATCATGAAGTATGAAGACAGAAGCAAGAAAATCCCAAAACATGAATATTTTCAGTTTATAATAAGTCTCAAAAATGAACACAAATAGGGCTAATTTACCATGCAAAAATGGCCCTAAAAGAGAGATTGAACACAAGGGACAGCAACCGGCCCCAAATAGAAAATATCCCTTCAAAAAATTTGAATAGGGGCTCAAAACAAGGTACTTTGCAGTTTACATCAAGCCACGAAAATAATCACAAATAAGGCCAAACTATCATGCAAGAAAAGGCCTAAAAGAGGGGTAAAGAGACAAGTGGTAGCTGTTGGCCTCAAAAAAAGATAGCCCTTCAACAATGTTGAAGAGGGGCTCAAAAAAAGATATTTCACAGTTTATGGAAAGGTCCAAAATAGCTCAAAAATAGGCCTAAAATACTATGCAAAAATTGGCCTAAAAGAGAGATATAGAGGCGAGTGATAGTAAGAGACCTCAAAAAGAGGAGAGCCCTTCAACAATGTTGAAGAGGGGCTCAAAAAAAGTTATTTTACAGTTTATGACCAAGTCCAAAACAACTCACAAATAGACCTAAAATACTATGCAAAAATTGGCCTAAAAGAGAGTTTAAACACAAAGGGTGAGGAGGAGACCTCAAAAAGGGAAATACCCTTAATCAAACATGGATATGAACATAAAATATGACTATTTTAAGTTCGGGTCAGAGCCCAAAAATGATAAAAAAAACAAGGCTAATATATCA